CCCCCTCCCTTCTCCCTCCCCCCTCCCCATATTCTTAGGCTATTTGGTTATCGCTTTCATATTTATAAATTAATATATGATTGTATAGGAGATGTGAAACACCAAGATATTATTCAAGTTTATCACCATACCTAGTGTCGGAATATATTTACTCTGTCATGTTCTTTTCAATTGTTAAAATGTTACAAAATTATTCTTTTGTAATGGCACTTGATAAGTCGTATACATTTGCATGGTTTTCCCATTTGTAAGAAGTGTCCATCTTCAAGGTCTTGATCTCTTTTTTGTGGTAGTATTCCATCTCCATTTTGGAATTTGTAGGATAGCTATCCTAATAATGTCATAGGATATTTCCCACCAGTTCTCCGAATCTCTAGAGATGGTTCAGACATTTTTGTTCTCCTGAATACCTTTGAATAGTTTTTTTTTGTTGTTTGTTTGTTTTGCAGTTTTTGGCTGGAGCTGGGTTTGAACCCACCACCTGTGGCATATGGGGCTGGTGCCTTACTCCTTTGAGCCACAGGCATCACCTCCTGTGAATAGCTTTAATATAGAAATAATTGCTGAGCAACAGAAAAAATAATGGCCATTTCTATTACCTATCCATATGAGAAAAAAATTGTTTTTTTAGTGCTTAGAGTAATAAAATAAAAAATACACACACATAAACCTATAGCTGAGCAAGGCAGATGTGTATTGGTTTATAATACACACGTAAATGTGTTACACTTAAGTGTATTACACATACATGGATAACATACACATACGTGGATAGGTACACACGCATATGGATATTTTTGTAGAGTAAATAAAATGGAGCGTGAAGATAAGGACTGATTAGTATATAGAAAGTGAAGAAGGAAGTTTTGTCTAGTTTTCAAAGAGGGAGATAATCTTGTCTCTGCCGTGGCAAGTTTTCATTTTATGGTAAGATGAAGGTGACATCACCTTGGGGCGCTCAGTCTATGTATTTGAAAGGAAGCTGATGACAAAGTAAGTACTTGTTATGCCTGTGAGATAAGATAGATGATTTTAAAAATGGAATTTAGGGCAGTGCCTGTGGCTCAGTGGGTAGGGCACCAGCCCCATATACCGAGGGTGGCAAGTTCGAACCTGGCCCTGGCCAAACTGCAACCACAACAACAACAAAATAGCCAGGCGTTGTGGCGGGTGCCTGTTGTCCCAGCTACTCCGGAGGCTGAGGCAAGAGAATCACGTAAGCCCAGGAATTGGAGGTTGCTGTGAGCTGTGACGCCTTGGCACTCTACTGAGGGCAATAAAGTGAGACTCTGTCTCAGATAAAAAGAAAAATGGAATTTAACCAAATGTAAATTATGCTTGCTGTTCTCAAAAGCACTAGTAGGAGCTTAATTGGGCAAAGGGGGAGAAGAGATGTATTAATTAAAAGTCTCCTCCACCCCTCAAAAAAATCAGTTTTCTTTCCAGAAGGTCTAGTGAGTTTGGAGAAAGAGGGGTACTTGTCTTTAGTCAGAGAATAATCTTCCAATTTTAACTTTCCCAAGTGAATAAATAACCCATACGATCATGATAGTAAAAGTATGTCAATTCTAAATCCGAGATTCTATAATGTGGGTGGAAAAAGAATTATCCACCCACTTTTGGGACAGGGAAAAGAGGTTTTTCTTGGGAGGGGAGGGAAGGGTAGTAGCAAAATCCCCAAACTGTGGAACAGGGTATGTTGCATAAATATATCTCGAGAAACACATTCTGTTTTAGTTCCTCTTTATTATTTCCATGTCTTCTTCTATAGTTTCATCTCCTTATAGGTAACACCCGTCTTATCACCCATAATCTGCCTCCATAGTACCTACCGTAGTTCTATGGGCTTAGTAGGAATTAGGGATTAAATTGTGTGTGTTCTAGGTGGTGAAAATTATTTGCTAAATTTAGATAAATCATTCAGAAATGTTTGCCTATACCCTTAGTAGAAAAGACTCTCAACACAGAGTGTTGAGAATATCAAAGGATACTGATGAGATGGATTTATTCTTTGAATGAAGATGAATAAGACTCGTCTAAAAGGTGTCACATTTCATACATACCCAGTGTAATCATCCACATGGAGACCTTCAAAGATTTAAAAAAAATATGTAGAGGTCATACAGGGTCGTCTGAGTAGATGGACATTTGGGTGTCCCAGAAATAGTGCTTCCCCCATAAAATAATCAAGCCCTGGCAGTAATTTCATTACTTATGGCCATGGCTTGCTATCTCCGGACTGTTTTCTTACCCATCCTTCTCCAGAAATTAGACATTTTTACTAGAGCAAAATGCCCTTTCTACAGAAACCGTCTTTTTCCCAAGAACTTATTTAAGGCAACTTTGACATCTTTATTCCTCAGGCTGTAGATGAGGGGGTTCAGCATGGGCACCACAATGGTATAAAACACAGAGGATACTTTCCCTTGGTCCATGGAGCTGACCGAGGATGGCTGCAGGTACATGAATGCTGTGGATCCAAAGAAGACGGAAACAGCCGAGATGTGGGAGCTGCAGGTGCTGAAGGCTTTGGACCTGCCCTCAGTGGAGCGGATTCGGAGGATGCTGGCAATGATGAGGACGTAGGAGCTAAGGATAGTCAGGGTGGGAAAGAGGATATTAAACGCACTGAAGCACAGAACTAAGACCTCGTTGATGTAAATGCTGGAACAGGAGAGCTCCAAGAGTGGGAAAAGATCACAGAAATAATGGTTGATTATGTCAGTCTTACAGAAAAGCACTCTGAGCATGCAGGCTGTGTGAGCGGTGGCACCGACCAAGCCCATGACATAGACTCCAACTACCATCCACGAACAGACCTGATAAGACATGATGACGTTATAAAGCAGTGGGTTACAGATGGCCACGTAGCGGTCATATGCCATTGCAGCCAACATGTGACATTCTGATATAACAAAAACAAGGAAGAAGTAGAGCTGAGTCATGCATGCAGGGTAGGAGATGATGTTCTTCTCTGTCACAAAGTTCAGCAGCATTTTGGGGGTAATGACAGTGGAATGACAGAGATCGATGAAGGACAGACTGCTGAGGAAATACATTCTTGAGATTTATGAAACTGGAATGCCATGAATGGATCATGATACTTATTCCTAATCCTTGAATACATTCAGTGTTAAATTAGATGAGGAGGAAGAGGGGCAGCTGGAGTTCCGGCTTCTCTGTGAGCCCCGCCAGGACGAACTCCGTCACTAAGGAATTATTTCCTTTTGCCATTTTCCTCTGAGAATTTTATGGGAGAAAAAAAGAAGAAACTTTGAGTTAAGTATTTATTGTCTCACTACTCAGTAAAGTATGAAACAAAGTTCAAGTCTTTTTTTTTTTTTTTTTTTTTTTGCAATTTTTGACCAGGGCTGGGTTTGAACCTGCCACCTCGGGCATATGGGGCCAGTGCCCTACTCTTTTGAGCCACAGGCTCCACCCCCAAATTCAAGTCTTTTCAACCAGGTATCTCCAGTTCTTTACCTATTCTTTGTCTATATAAGCAGTCAAAGACCCTCTGGGATCCCAGAAATATGGGGCATGTAAACGAATATTAGATATTACTATCTTTATTTGTGTTTTATGCTATAAAAGTGGGTGTATTTCCCAGCTCCTGAACACCCAAAGGCTGCCCCGATTACTTTAATTGGATGTCCAAGAATGTCTCATGCTTTGCCTGCAATCTTCTTAACTCTTTTGCAGAGTAAATAATAGGATATCTCTTTTACTATCAGGTGATTGAGGCTTACGGTGGTTGAATATCAGCCCACGGTTAGGCATGTACTAAGTAAGCAATCAAAAATATGAGAAAAGACCTGTCTGTCTCACTTTCCATCTCTCATTTTAGCTATTCATGGCTTCCATCCTGTCTTTATCTCTTTGTTGTATGAGAAAAACTTCTTACAGCAATGAACGTGAAAGAAATAAAATTTCATGAAGGACTAACAATAGAGTATCAACCATTGAACTCTCCTTTACTGAGTACCTGGGTTACTGGCACTGTTTTGAAAATGGAGAAATAGTAACTTCAGAAAATAACGTTATTAGTCAACTTGAATGCCACATCTGGGAAAGCTGTGGGTTTCCCACTGAGAAATTGGAAGAGAGAAACAAAAATTGCCCAAATTTAAGTTGGAATTTTATATGGCTCTGAAATAGATTAAGTAATTTTTAGCTATCACATTTTCAAATGTATACTTCAAAGAGTGGTAACGAAGCATAATGAACATTCAAAACAAAATTAATTATTAAGTGCCTTTTATTTCAGATCATGTGCTTGAAATAGTGCAAGCACAATAAAAGAGACAAATTTCAGGGGCAGCACCTGTGGCTCAAAGGAGTAGGGCGCTGGCCCCATATGCCAGAGGTGGCGGATTCAAACCCAGCCCCAGCCCAAAACTGCAAAAAAAAAAAAAAAAATTCAAAGAAACTCTAATGATTAACTGCTTTAATCATTTTGGATTTTGTAGTAGGCTTGAATTTTGCCTTGCATATTAAATATCTAGTATATAAGAACCATTGAGTTATTAATTTTATACACGTCTTAGCACTTTAAATGACTCAAAAGCCCTTATTTCCAGTGTAATAAATTCCTAATTTTTTAAATAGTTGACAATTCCATGTGTTTTCAAAAAGTATTTAAAAAATCATCTAAATAGCTTAGAAGCCCAAAGTTCTGAACTCAAGCATAAAATAAGCTTAAAAATTAGGAAAAGAAATCTGTCTTAGAAATATGACTGGAGCGTAGCTTATAGTAATGTGTATGCCATATACACTGCAGTTACACTAAATTCCTGGTATCCTGTATCATAAATTAATCCCTTCCAAATTTTAAAATGATTCTTATCTGCTTTCGGTGTAATAGTGTAACTCATGTATCTCCAAAGCAGGGCACCACATTTTACAAAATACTGAAATGGGTCAAGTGCCATCTTGTACATGAGCAGAATTTTGTTCGTATATTTCTTCTCGAGCTGGACCAGCTTTCTTGAAGCTATTGAGGGGTAAGGCTGTGTGTTTCGCAATTTCTCCTGAGTCAGCTCACTACAACCTGCTTCTCTGCTACCACTTGACCTCCGTCTTCCAATGTATGGGTCTTTCTCATCTTTGCCACGCTAGATGCTGGAACTGATAAAACAGTCTATGCTTTTCTTATTTTATTTTTATATTTTGAAACAGAGTCTCAGTCTGTCACCCTGGGTAGAGTGCCACGGTATCATCATAGCTCACGGCAACCTCAAACTCTAGACTTGTGTAATCCTCTTGCCTCCTCCTCCCACGTAGCTGGGAATAGAGGCACTCACCACCACACCCAGCTAGATTTTTCTGTTTTTTGTAGAGACGGGGTCTCCCTCTTGCTCAGGCAGGTCTCCCAACTCCTTGGCTCAAGCAGTTCACCCACTTAGACCTCCCAGAGTGTTAGGATTACAGGCGTGAGCCACTGTGTGCAGCTCTTCTTACTTTATTTTTTAAAGAGCCATTAACACATAACTTTTGGGTACTATGTATGATATATTTTCACTACAAGCTCGGGTATAAGAAAGTGGTTATATCATAGGTATAATTTTAAACTGAATGTTATAAAGTCGTGGTGTGGGGAATTTCATTCTAACTATTCTGACACTGTTCTCCCAGTACTCTGGATTTGTCTGCTGTTTTCCTATCTTTCTGAAAAGGAGTCATAAATTGCTGGATTTAAGCAGATATAGTCCAGTCAGGGTGTTCTGTTGTGGGAATACAGTGTTTCAGAAATAAATTTGAATTCAGAGTCTTTCACAGAACATGCATTTTCCAAATCATAACATTATTCTCTTATATCCTTTATATACTCTGGTACCTGCTTGACCCGTGAAAACACTTGATTTTGTGATGCCTCTCTTTTATCAAATACCTTGTTTAGGGAAAAAAAAAAAAAAACAAAACTTCTTCCATGAGGGGGAAAAAGCATGATAACTTCAAAGTTCTATTTTAACTTTAATTTTGACAAGATTTCTCAAACTTGTCAGCTTAATGTAAGAAAATTAGAACTAAATAGATCACAATGAAATATGAAAAGTACATGTCCTATTGAAAAAGGCTCTGTATTAATTTTTACATGAAATAACAACAGCATTTACAAAACCTCACAGCTAACATCACAGTTAACAGTGAAAGACTGTGGGGCGGTGCCTGTGGCTCAGTGGGTAGGATGCTGGCCCCATATACTGAGGGTGGCGAGTTCAAACCTGGCCCCAGCCAAACTGCAACAACAAAAAAATAGCTGGGCATTTTTCCCAGTAGTCCCAGCAACTTGGGAGGCTGAGGCAAGAGACTCACCTAAGCCCAAGAGCTGGAAGTTGCTGTGAGCGTGACGCCACAGCACTCTACCGAGGGTGACAAAGTGAGACTTTGTCTCTAAAAAATCAAACCAAAACAAAAAACAGTTAAAGACTAAATGATTCCCCCCATCAACATAAGACATGATGTCCACTCCCTATGCATTTATTCAACATTATACCAGAAGTCCTAACTAAGACAATCAGGCAAGAAAATGAAAACAAAAGGCATCCAGATTGGAAAGGAAAAAGTAAAACTGAATTTATAAACGACATAACTTTGTATAGGATGAAGGAGGGAAAGGGTAGTAGAGAGGAAGGGGGGGTGGGTCAGTATAGGGAGGGTTAGTAGGGGGACCACACCTATGGAGCATATTGCAAGTACAAGTTGGATCTATCGGGTGTAGAACACAAATGTCTTAATCCTGTAATTGGGTAAATGAGGTGAAGGCTATGTTGATTAGTAGGATGTAAGTACTCCAGTTTGTACAAATCATCAACACATTGAATCCCATAGTGGCATAAATATATTTATGATCTATATACAAATGACTTAATAAAAAAAAAACAAAGAAAATCCTGAGTAAACTATCACACATACATGCATGCACACACACACAAACTATTAGAATTAAAAAATGTATGTTTTTTGTAAAACATAAGAAAACATACAGTTCAATTGTGTTTCTATACATTTGCAATGAACAATCCAAAAATCTATTTGAAATAGTATTAGAAAGAACAAAGTGCTTAGGAATACATTAAATAAAAGAAATACAAGACATCATGTTGAAAACTATAAAATGTTGAAAGAATTTAAAGAAGACCTACATTAATGAAAATATATCTCATGTTCAAAATTCAGAAGGCTTAATATTATCAAAATGGCAATAACTTCTCACCTTGAACTACAAATTCAATGCAACCTCTATTAAAATGCCGGCTCTGCATTTTGCAGATATTAATGTGCTGATCATAGAATTCTTATGAAAATGGAAGGGACCCAGAATAACCAAAGTAAAGAATAATTTTGGAGGTCTCACATTTCTCCTCTTGAAAATTACACAGGGGCAGTGCCTGTGGCTCAAGGAGTAGGGCTCTGGCCCCATATACCAAGGGTGGCGGGTTCAAACCAGCCCTGGCCAGAAAAAGAAAATTACTACAGAGGTATAGTAACCAAGACAATGTGATGGCATCATCAGTTGTAAACATACAGATCAATGGCATAGAATTGACATTCCAGATACAAGCTCATACATCTGTGGTGAATTGATTCTTGGCAGGGGCTTTATGACAGTTTGATGGGGAAAGAATAATTTCCCCAATCAATTTAATGGTACTGAGAATATTAAATAGCTATATGTAAAAGAATTAATTTGAGACATCTTCCTGACACCATTCAAAAAAATTAACTCAAAGTAGATCACAGAACTAAATGTCAGAGCTAAAATTATAACAATCTTAAAAGAAAACATGTGTAAATATTTTTTACCTTGAATTTGGTGATGGTTTCTCAGATAAGATGCCCAAACCAGAAGCAATCATAGAAAAAGTAATAACTAGATGTTATCAAAATTAAAAGCTTGTTCTTTGAAGGACCTCACCTGGAAAGTACCTTCAATCCCATTACTGGTGGGATTGCAAAATAATATAGATTCTTACAAAACAGTTTGAAAAGGAGAAACAGAGGGTGACCATACGCCTCAGGTATCCCACAGCTGGATACAAGCCATGAGAATTGAAAAGATATGACCACACAAAAAGTGGTACCTGAATGGGCAGAACACCATTACTTATAACAATCAAAGATTGGAAACCACCCAGATTTCCATCAAGGACAAACAAGGTGTGGCACATACATGTACTAGAATATTCTGAAATAAAAAGGAATGAATGAACCTGGAATATGCTAAGAGAAAGAAACTGGGCACAAAAAGCTATACA